GGGTTATTTAGAGGACAACGCACTCACCTTCAGATCGGAGGCAAGCAGAGTGCGGGCAGTGGGCGCAGCACTGAGGAGAGGAGCGGCAGAGTGGTATGTCCAGCTCCATGCCAGACATGACCCATGCTTGGGATCCACGAGGCGATTCCTAGCAGCGATGGAAGCACGCTTCAGGGACCCGCTTGAGAGAGTCCGAGCGAGAGAGAAGTTGCAGACAATAACCCAAGGCCAGCGTTCCGTGTCCGAATACGTGGAAGAATTCCAGTTGCGGGCAGAAAGGGTGCCTGAGTGGTCCGGTACCACTAAGGTCCAGATATTTAAGGAAGGCCTGCAGAAGGAAATCTTGGCTTGGGCGCTTCATCGCGATGATCCGGAGGAGATAGGCGGATGGATTGAGCTGGCTGGCCGCATCGAGACGACCCTGGCCCAGGTCAGGAGACATCGAGGGGCGGTGCCGCAGCAGACGAGAGCCAGGGAGGAGAGTCGGAGGACGGAGAGAGGCACGATCGGGAAAGGCCCAGCCGGAGGACCCAAGGAGCAGAAAGGCGGCTGTTTTGTATGCGGCCGTTTGGGGCATCGGGCCGCAAATTGTGGGCAGCGAAAGGGGGGGGGATCCCCCTCAAACAAGGTTTAAACCGGCCGCTGGGAAGAGAGCGGAAGAGAGCCTCCCTCACAGGGCCCCAGTGGGGGATCTGGTGAGTCACAACCAAGGAATGCTAGTGTTCCCGATAAGGCTAGAAGGGGAGGGGAAGTGGGCCAGTTGCAAAGCCCTCATGGATTGTGGCTGTTCCAGGAACATTATAACCCCTGAATTGGCAGACGAACTGAAATGTGAGAAAGCCGTCTTGCCAGCCCCTGTAGCATTTTCACAGCTGGATGGATCAGTGGCGGCTGGAGCCCCAGCGCGATTCGAGGTGAGGGAAGTGCAGTGCAAGATAGGGAATTGGGAAGGCGGCATAACATTTGTGGTATCCCCTATGGCAACTTATAATGTAATATTGGGGATGCTGTGGTTGAGGGAGGCAAACCCACAGATCAATTGGAGGAAGGGCAGCCTGAGCTTCCAAGGCAAAGAAAAGGGGGAGTGTTGTAAGGGGGAGGGATGCACGACAGACGGGGTGCAAGAGATCCCTCCCGAATATAGAAACTTTGAGGATGTGTTTGATGAGAAGGAAGCAGATCAGTTTCCTCCCCCAAGAAGGGTCGAGGTGAAAATTGAACTCAATAAAGATGCTAAGCTGCCTAGGAGTAGGCTATACCCCATGTCGGCAAAGGAGATGGAGGAGCTGAGGAAGTACATTGATAAGAACTTAGCACGAGGGTTCATAGTACCGTCTGAATCCCCATTGGGGGCCCCAGTGCTATTTAGGCACAAAAAGGACGGCTCGTTGAGGTTGTGTGTGGACTATAGGGGGCTGAACGCAGTAAGCACGACCAACAATTACCCATTGCCTCTAACCATTGACTTATTGTCGAGACTGTCAGAGGCACGGAAGTTTACGAAAATCGACTTGATTGAGGCCTATCATAAGTTGCGGATATGGCCTGAGGACAGATGGAAAACGGCTTTCTCATGTCCACTGGGGCATTTTGAATATTCCGTGTTTCCCTTCGGGCTAAAAGGCTCGGGAGGGGCATTTATGCAAATGATTAACGAGGTGCTGCACTCGTTACTGTACCGAGGGGTGTACTGTTTTGTGGATGATGTAATAATATTCAGCCGTGATAAGCAATCCCATATTCAATTGGTGAGGGAGGTGCTCCAGAAATTGAGGGAAGCAAAGCTGTTTGCAAAGCTGCCAAAGTGCGAATTTAATAAGGAACAAATATACTTCCTCGGATACAGGATCTCCCAGGGAGGGGTGGCAATGGATCCTTCAAAGGTAGAGGATGTCAGGGGATGGGGACCTCCCAAAACACGCAAACAGTTACAGTCTTTCTTAGGGTTTGTGAACTTTTATCGAGTGTTCATAAAAGACTTTGCTCAGATGGCGCTGCCCCTCACCGAATTGCTGAAGACAAATGGAAGGGGGGAGACGGTAAGGGTGCGGTCCCCGGGAGCAAAATTGAATTGGTCAGCAGAATGCCAGAGGGTTTTCGAGGAAGTGAAACGCAGATTCACAGAAGAACCTGTCCTAATCCACCCCGATCTGACTAAGCAATTTGTAATCCATTGTGACGCATCGGATTGGGCCTATGGGGCAGCGTTGATGCAAAGGGATCCGGAGGGGAGGTTAAAGCCATGTGGGTTCATATCAAAAAAGTTCAGCGAAGCTGAGCGAAACTGGCCGGTGTGGGAAAAGGAAGCCCTGTCAATCCTAAGAGCTCTGGAGACATGGAGGCATTTGTTAGAGGGAAGCGGCATACCCTTT